CTAACCCCCTTTCTCACATGTAAAACCGCAAGTCTAGTATGGATCAACAAGAGATTTATGCTGATACTTCTTCCAGAGTTTACCAACATTCCTCCAAATGGCATCTATAAGCCCATTCACCATCCATCTGCGAGGGCAAATTTCTGGGCACTCTAGTGTTCAAACATCTTTCACCATCAAGTCACGAATGCCGGATCCGCCAATCTAACTCTTCAGGTCCAAGAAGTTTGAACAGGAGCAACTGTTGCACCCAAAAATTTGCCCTCTCATTTCTCAAGGGATCACCCTGGATCCTCAGGTTCGCTTTCATTAAGTCCCCAGGCCTTGAATTAACAATTTTTCCAAGCAAGCCGTTCACAAGGGCAAAATGGTCATTTGCATGCTGAGAAATCCAACCTTGACTTTTGAATCAAAATCAAATCTCAAAAATCACATTTCATCAAGACACGTTGGAATATGATGTTTGCTTTATCAAGAGTTTCAAAAGTCAAATTTTACTTGGAAGAATCAAATTCTAAAGACTTAGAAATTTTTCTAAGTATTTAAGAAATATGAAAATTTCAGAACTTCTGATCCAGTGTTCACAGCCAGCAAATTCTGGATGTTCTCAAGACAGAGTTTAGTCATAACTTCTGAGCCAGTATTCACAAAGGTCCAGTCAGAGTTGGAAGAGTTTAAGTCAAAGAAGGTAACAAAGTGTGTTGTAAGTATACTGGAAGTTCTGAAGGATCCCTCAGAACGTGCTGAAGTCAGAAGATAAGAGGATCAGAACATGAGATGCTACACTGAAGCAGAAATTCTGATCCAGAGTCAAGCAAGGATCCAGAGTATCACATGGGAACTCATTTAATGCTCACAACCGCCTATGAGTTTGTATTCAAGGGATTTTCCCCACGTGTACCCCTATTGTCTAGGGAAGACAAATTTTTGTGCAAAAGTATGCTAGACCCACACATTGTCTCTACTTTTCATTAATTCACGCTGCCAAATCCAGCTGAGACGCTGTTAAACCTCCAACTTGAATGCAATAAACTCCCACTTGTTTAAGCTTACTTCAAGAGTAAGTCAGCATCAAGCAGGTGATATTGGTGCCACTTGACCGCCCCAAACTGCAAAAATTTGCCTATAAATAGAACACCAGTTGCACACTGAAAGAGGACCTCTCTCCCCTCCCCAGAGAAAATTTGTGAAAGAGACGAAAGAATATAAGAACTAGCTTTGAACCACTGCAAAATTTCCAAGAACCCAGGAAACTATAAACACAAAATTACCAAAATCTTAGCATTGATTCCTTATATTCAAATTCCATTTTTCCTCAAGTGTTTTTGATTAAAGCCATCCCAAATTATGTAATCAAACAGTAACACATTCTCTATTCACTCTCACCACAAAGGAGTCAGAATATTACCCCTTGGCTGCCTCAGAAGTTGCAAACCTTCATCCTGCTGAGTACGTGAAGAAGTTACTCAGAACATCACCAGAATTCAAGAATAACCTCCAGTTTACAAAATCCTTTCAAGCTGCAAGGTAAGTTTTGCTGACTCTCTTCATAACTGACTAAGCATTGTCAGATTTTGCATGTTTAGCACAATGTAGATATTCTGATCCTGATGATGTACATATTCTGAAAATTCTTGCATTTGCTTTCCTAAGTAAAAGAAATCCCAGTCCAGAGTTTCATAAAGAAAATAGGACTCAGAATTAGAACCAACAAATACATGTTGCCTCTGATTCTTACTTCTGATATTTCATGAAATTTGTCATAACTATTATGCATGCAACTTCTGTTCTGTAAGTGACTAAGTTGCAGATGTTATAACTGACCAGGAGAGAGGAAAAGTTCTGACAGTTGCATCAGAACTTCTGAAAACTTCTAAATTTTCATAAGGTCCAAGAACCTCTGAACTTCTATATTTTGCTAACATGTTTCTGTTTGTGCAGCAAGTTAGCGTCAGAACTTCTGACCTCTTCTATTTTGCGTTGGTTATGTTTTCTTCTCTTTTTTTGCCATCATATTATATTTTATTTCTAATCAAAAAACAAAAAAAACACCAAAAAAACATTTTACATTTGCATGATATATTTTCTTTTAATATAAAAAGACAAAAAATATTTTCTTAAACAAAGGTTATTTTCTTTTTGAACATGCAAACATTTTACATTTCCTGTATATTCTTGTCTATTTCAATATGATTGTAATAAGTAACCTAGAATTTTAACTTGCAACCCCCATTCATAAGTATGTACCCCCATCCCCTTAAATATTGTAATAGTGTAGGGTTTTACATTTTCGCACTGTTATTGCTTTCAATATATGCTAGTAATTAGGGTATATGACAAGATATGGAAATTGACAAATAGATCACCCTAACCAAGACAAATTATGCATACAATCAAACACACTCGCACACTTACACCCTTAGGGAAATTCCACTTATTGCCTTACAAAAACGGTCATGTTATGCATGTGGGGTGTCTTAGCACAAACGAATCGAAAAAGATCATAGTCCCTCGATGACGCTATCAAAGTTGTCTTTCAAAATGATCTTAGTCCCTACAGAAAAAGTGCTAAGTCATCTCACAACATTGCTATCATGGTCATACGATGACCCACACTCGTCTCTTCACATCCAACGATGAGGCTTCTTACCAAGTCAATGGTAAGGTAGCAACATCTAAAGGAGGAGGAAAAGCACATTTAAGACCTTTTGAGTAGGTAGATTACTTTTAGTTACTTGCTCAATTTCAAAGTAAACATCCTTGCTATTTTCAAAACCATCACATACACTTTCAAAACATCTTCAAAACACTTTCCAAGACCTGAAATATTTTCAAAAAGCTCAACACTTTGCATACATTCTTACGAACGGGAATCATTGCAAAGTTCGCCTAAACGATGACACCTTTTCAAAATACTTTCAAAACCACACAAAAGCACAATTTTCAAACAAAAGCAAGTGATCTAGCAAGTAACTAAGATCCCATGGAAAACCATAGATGAAAAGGGTGCTAATACCTTCCCTTTTCATAATCTACCTCCCGAACTCAAGAAAACATCTCGAAAGGTCTTTCCTGTGCTTTTTCACCTTTCCTTATTGGATAAAAGAAAAGTCGGTGGCGACTCTTGCTAACCGCAACATTTGCGATAAAACGCAAAACCCTCAAGTCAGTTCTCACACCGTATCACACAATTGCTCATTTGACTCAAACCATGCATTGTTCTTGATTCAATTTTAACCAACTTTTACCACTATTTTTGAGCTTAAACTCAAGGACATATAAAACCTTATGCCAACCATTTTCCCATATAAAATTTCATAATCATTTGTGTTTTTTTGTGAAATCAACTCTCTCACTTTGAAAAGTTCAAAGCTCTTGCATTCAAATTTCTTTCTTTTTCAACCTCAGTTTTGTTTTCATATCTTGATAATGAAAGATTTGTGATTGATTGGGGGAGACTATGTCTTGAAACCAAACTTTCCTGAAGATTGTGTAAATATTTTCCAGGTTATTGCAAGATTTAAGAGTTGTCACTGGTGCTGACAAATATCAGTGAAAAGAATGAGGTTCTTCTCTCCAGATTTCCTTAGTAGTGACTGTGTGGAAGACTATAGATAAGGCGGAAATCTTCTCAGATCTTCGGACAATTCACTGCTCAAGTAATCAGTATAATCAAAGGATTGATTGTTACAGATGAAGGCTTCGAGCATAATTTGTGATATTGGAAGATTTTTGAAATATTGATTGAGTAAAAATTGCACAGAAGAGTTTGACGTAAAGGTTTATACGAGTCAAAATCCAGAATCAAAGATTTATTTTCTTTAAACATTATTGTGGACTAATGATTGTATAAACTCTTGAAATATCTGTCAAAATAGTGGAATTATGCATGTTCCAACGGGAAACCATTGAAGATTGTATGCAAACTCACGCGAGGACGACAAAGTCGAAGCACTATAAATCCATGTGTCATCTCTCTACCTTTTACTATTACATTTAAATTTCGTAGTATATTGCATGCCTAGGTTTTGTTGGAATTGAGACCTAACCGAGCTTTAGTGGTGATTAAAATCTGAGAAATTTGTTGAGTTTAGATTTTACAAATTGAATCATTGTTTAATTATTTCTCATAAATTATACTAGTGATATCGATTGAATACCTTATGTATCATCATTAATTTAATTTGTGATATTTGTACATTGATTAAGTGTTGAAGTAAGTTAATTTCTATTTAAATATAATTCACTCTAAAATATTTCCATAGCATACTCTAAAAACTTCTGATGATTCGACTTTGAAGAATCGTTTGAACTTTATTTTAGAAAGTCTATTCACCGTCCCTTTAGAGTATTTGTTTACACCATATTTTCATCCAATATAAACAATTGCCAACATATCACACATTCTTTTCAGTATAATTCTTTTCTTTTTAATGAAAATTGTTTAGAGCCGATTACATTGTGTTTTTAATTTTTTTTATATAATTCTTTTTGAAAAATGAAAATTGATATTATAAATTATGTTAACATGTGTTTTTATGACACACGTTAAAGATACTATAATTAAAAAAATTTAAATATAATTAAATATAATAAAATCATATTTAAAATTTCATAAAATTAAATATTTATATTTAAAAAAAATATTTTTACAAATAATTTATAAACTTATGTTCTTAGAATCACGTTATACATGTTTATTCAACAAAAACAAAACATAATACATGTTTATCAAAGAAAGAAGAAAAGAAATAGAGCAGAAGAAGAAGGAACGAACCAAACCAGTCCATAGTCTATAGATCAAAGTGGGAGAAAAGAAACCAGCCGCGGTCGTGAATGCGGCGGCGCGTGTGGTAACGACAACTGGAGTGACATACAATACATCAACACGGTAGCTTTTGCCTAACCCTAACCACACTACACGGTGAAACACCGTAGAACAAGTCGGTTAGTTCTACTTCACTTCCACTGTCACACTCACTTTCCTCGCGAGAGAGATCATGAGCCGCTACGACAGCCGTTCCTCCGACCCCACTTCCTACCGCGACCGAAGAACGTAATAATAACTCCAATTCCATTTTCTAGGGTTTATCTTTCTCTTCAATTTTCTATACTCTTTTTTTTTTTTACCTTCATTGTTGTTTTTTCTCAGTGACTCTGGCTTAGGTGGTGGTGGAGGAGGTTCTGCTGCTGCGCCTTCGAGTAGAAGAGATGGGTCAGGTTCTCCTAAGAAGATTAATTTGGATGGGTTGCCTCATTTTGAGAAAAACTTCTACAATGAATCGCCTTCTGTCAGGGCAATGACTGAGGCTGAAGTTACTGAGTATCGGCTACGCCGCGAAATTACTGTTGAAGGCAAAGATGTTCCTAAACCTGTTAAATCCTTTTCTGATGCTGCTTTTCCAGGTACATAGATGAATGAATTACACTCTACAGTTCTATTTTATTTCATTGGATTGGCTTAGATTCAGTTTAAGTGCTAGTTTTGTTTAAGATTATCATATTTTGCTATTGGAATTTATGTATAGTTTGACAACGGGGGACAATTCCAGTGCCGTTTACTTTTGTATTTGGTTTTGGTCTCTAGAGCACCGACATCTTTGAAAAAGTGCGTGTCCGTGTTGACCAACACGACACTTGTGAGTACGTTTAATTTATTCATTTTTTTCAAATTATTACCGAGGTCGCTGTGTAAGTGTCGTGTTCGGGGTGTCCGTGCTTCTTAGGTTTTGGTTTGAGGAGAGGGGTAAAACATAGGGGATTTGGACAGAATAGAAAATAGTTTCTACTTTTATAGTCTATGGACTTTGGAGTGTTGTCAAAGGAGAGGATAGTGGACACTAGCTGTTAGTTCAAATTCCTCTATCTACAGTACTATAGTGCTCATTTAACCTATATTTGGCAGCAATCTGTTCTAAATATTGGATTGCATAATGATAACGTTTTAAAAATTCCGCGATACAATAGCCATGATATGAGAACACTGGTACTAATTGATTATTGTGGTGATACTCTACTGATTTTACGACTTTGATTTAATTTAATCCAGAATATGTACTGGAAGAAGTTAAAAAAGCTGGCTTTGTTGAACCTACACCTATTCAGTCTCAAGGTTGGCCAATGGCTTTGAAGGGACGTGATCTAATAGGAATTGCAGAGACAGGATCAGGGAAGACACTTGCTTATTTGTTGCCTGCCATAGTGCATGTTAATGCTCAGCCAATTCTAGGTAAGAAGATAAGGAAGCACCATGACTGAGATGTAAACTGTAGAGGTGCTTTTGTTTGCATATGCCTCCTTTGTTTAATCGTTTTGCTGTGTGGTAATTCATCAACAATGTGTTTCAGATCCTGGGGATGGTCCTATTGTGTTAGTTTTGGCTCCAACACGTGAACTTGCCGTCCAAATTCAACAAGAGGCTACTAAATTTGGTGCATCGTCAAGGATTAAGAGCACATGCATATATGGTGGGGTTCCTAAAGGGCCTCAAGTACGCGATCTTCAGAAAGGTATGTGGTGAAGAAAGTATGTGGGCCTCTAGTGTGCCATGGCTTGTGATAAAGAACTCACCTTTCTTTTTTAACTGTATTTGGTGATGCTTCTATTAATTTTGGGGTTAGGTGTTGAAATTGTAATCGCCACTCCGGGAAGGTTAATTGATATGCTCGAGTCAAATCATACTAACTTGCGAAGGGTCACATACTTGGTATTAGATGAAGCTGATAGGATGTTGGACATGGGGTTTGATCCTCAAATACGGAAAATTGTCTCTCAGGTAACTTTTCTATTATCTGATTAATATTCTAAAGCGGTAAAACCTCAGGAAATAGTATATAGTAGTATTGTTTGGCATAGTCAAATTGCTTTCCTTGATGTTTTGCACAGTTCATTTATATTTCTATTCTATGTTAAATTTCATTTTGCAATGCCCTGTATCTTTCATGAGAGGGAAAGAAACTAGGAAATTGAAGCTGAGTGTGATTGTCGTTTAATAGTAAATTAGTTGTAAATTCAAATTCTGCAGCTCATAATTTGGCCGGCTTAGCCAAACAATTAGGAAATCAAACCTGAGTACGGTATATTGCAAACCAGGATAACTCAGTTCCTGCTGTTGTTTCTAGTTGTTGGAGTTAATGAGCAGTGTTTAAACTTTGAAAGAAAAGGAAGGATACGATATCCTCAGAGGAAGTAGAACCACGATTTATTTAACAAATTTGAATGACATCAATACAAGATATAGTCCTATAAGATTTCAGTCAAAACCACTTTTTGAAAACAACAATTGGCTTAAAACCATGGAAAGGAAGCACCAGAAAGAAATGATATGAAATCCTACAAAGCTGAAACAATCTGACTTTGTTTTTTCTGAAAGGTCAGGATTGAGGTCAAATCCTGTGCACCAAGTTGATAGCAACTGGTGGTGTTCAGTCAGAAGAAGCACACATTTTATTGAATAAAAGAGCCTTTGGATTTAGATAAGTTCATCGTATAAGTTCATGCTAATGGATCTGAGTTGAAGTAGCAAAGGCATATTGATATGGCTTCAGATTAACGTTTTGTTTATTGGTCTGGTTATCTGATTATTATCATCATTATTATTGTTGTTTAATTATGTAGATTCGTCCAGACCGTCAGACTTTGTACTGGAGTGCTACATGGCCAAAGGAGGGTCGAACAATTGGCAAGGCAGTTCCTTTACAATCCATACAAAGTAAGATTTATTCTTGTTATGCTGTCCTTTTTTTCATATCGTTCTTCTGTTGAAATGGTATGATCTGGAATTTCTAATATTATTCTTCCTTACTAGATCACAGCTTTCAGGAGTTTTCTCGTAAACTTGTAGGGGTTCTCTATATGTATAAGTAGGAAAATCAAGCCGATTCACTTTAAACATGTTCCCTGGTAAACTTGTGCCGATTCAGGTGGATCTGTTCAAAACTCAGATGGAATTTTGAGTTTAATGCGAATTCTGCGACTCCACTGATACACAAAAATAAGCATAAAAAATGTCCCAGAGAAACTATGTTTTCTCTTACGGTGCAATTTTAATCTCCCAACTCCTAACCTAAGGGTCTCAGCACTATCCCTACATGAGCAGAGTACTATTGCAGCAATCCCTTTCTGTCGGCAATTAGTGCCATCTCAACACGACCAACAAAAACACACTTCTACGAATGAAATAATCTTCCTCTGGGCACTGGCTCTAAAAAGCCATCCCTGCACACTTTATTAACTTATGACTTCATTAGTTTGCGCAGGTTCTCAAATTTGACAATCTTGGGTGTTTATTTGTTTGTGTATAGCATTGTATTTGTCAGAATTGTTTTATATTGAAGACTGAATTGGCAACTTCTGTTAACAATTCTGCAGGTAATTATAGGTTCTGAAGTTTTAAAAGCCAACCATGCTATAAAGCAATATGTTGACATTGTTCCTGAAAAGCAAAAATATGATAAGTAGGATATAATCTACATTATTTTCAATCCCTAACTTGAATAACTTGTCATGTAGAACCGTTTAATAGAGTCGTTTTATTACAGATTGGTGAAGTTGTTGGAGGACATCATGGATGGAAGCAGAATATTGATATTCATGGATACTAAAAAAGGGTGTGATCAGATTACTAGGCAGCTCCGCATGGATGGGTGGCCGGCACTTTCAATTCATGGAGACAAAAGTCAAGCAGAAAGAGATTGGGTGCTTTCAGAGTTTAAATCTGGAAAGAGTCCTATAATGACTGCAACGGATGTTGCAGCTCGTTGGTTTAGGTACAAAATTTGTGATCAATTGTTCAGATGTTGTCAGTAACTTTGTTGGAAAAGATAATTCTGTAGTCAATCAATGGCTCGGTTCATTCATCTTATTTATGAATATGACTATTTAAACCACTTTTAATTACTAGATTTTATGTTCATATATTACTCTTTCCATGTAAGGGACATATTAATTGTTGTGAACCAAGAAATGTTGGATGGCCTTACCATTGTATTTTTCGTTGTTTATGCAGTCATTAGCTCATATCGACAATTTTCTCTCATGTATGAATTTTCCTTATGTTTTAATCTCCTTCTATTGCTAGTCAGTAACATATATGAATTAGTCAGTCTTAACTATATGTGGTGAATAGCAAATCGTTGTTATTGTGACTGAAGATTCAAGTTCTATTTGTGAATTATGGCTCATCCATTGAATTCGGTCTTTTGGACCTATCAATTTACTCTTTGTATCCAAAACAGAATCCAAGTGGGCATTAGGACTTTCTATTTTGCATTTAAATAATGTCCTTTTGTTTGGTTGCACTACTGAGGAAGTGTCATTTATTAACTTACATCATTAGCTGCGCTTGTGTGTACTGATTTTTTCTTTTATTTGATTATTACTGACAGATGTGAAGGATGTGAAGTACGTGATAAATTATGACTTCCCGGGATCACTAGAGGATTATGTTCACCGCATTGGAAGGACTGGGAGAGCTGGTGCAAAAGGAACTGCATACACATTCTTCACAGCAGCTAATGCCAGATTTGCAAAGGAACTTATTAGCATACTTGAAGAAGCTGGACAGAGAGTAAGTTCTGAATTGGCAGCAATGGGGCGCGGTTGCACCTCCTCCACCTTCAGGTTTGTTAATCAACTTTGGCTAGTACATACATACTTATATTGGCCCACCTGCCTGTCCTCTATTATTTTTGGTAGAAGGTTGTATGCTATGCGATAATTCTGCTTGAATGACATGGATCCAACCCAAAGGCAGCAGTTCTGCTTGTAACTGGAAGCATGCATCATTTGTAGAATTCGTTTTCTTATCTGCTATCCACTTTTGATTCATAAATAAGTTGTTTTTTCCTATGATCAATAGGGGGCTTCCGAGACCGTGGGAAGAGTTTTGGCAGCGGTCGCCCATGGAGCTGATGGATGGAACTCCTGCAATAATGCCACTAAATGTAGCCTTATGCATTGTACTGTCCTACTCCCAAATTAGCGATTATTTGTAAGAAAAGTGATAGGAGTTTGGATGCCTTATTTCTTAGACTCCTTTTGTCCCCTTCTTTATTTGGTTGAAATGTTCATAGAACTTTGATGAGCCTTGTATCTACAATCAAACATTTATTTATACTTGACTATTCATACCACAGTACTTTATTTTGCTTGTCGCTTGGAAGCATTTAATTTGATAATATCACTCATTCACTCCCCTGTTTTTCCTTTTTATATGGCTGGCGGCTCGTAAATAAAAGAAAAGTGCAAAAAAAATTAAATTCAAAATATTACTTTCAAGGAAAATTACACTGGGTAGTCTAGAACCAGACATAAAAAAAAAGCTAGGGAGTTGCTCTTCACACCCTTAAGGGCGAAGAGCCATATTTATAAAATTCAAAATTGCCATTCTTAAATTTAGAAGTATATTTCTGTACACATTAAAAATACACCACGTCTCTTTGTAACTGAGCCACTCCATTTTGTTAAATATTTGTTCGGAATTGTATTTCTCTACCGATGGAAGGGTGAATATATGTGCACTTCTCTAATAATCCCTCAATTAGCATGGCTTTTAAAATAGGCATGACAATATAATTCCTACTTGTGGTATCTATTCGAATGATATTGAAAATCCATTTTGATTAGGTTAGAATTTTTCTCGATTATAAAATAAGAGGACGTGTCGGATAATTGTCATAATGTAACACGTGTTATGAAATATTAGTAACAATAAATGTGTAAATATGTTACCGTAAACAATGTATTGTCTAATGTCATTTGTCTAATCTTTCAAAGACAAATTTCACTTAACTTTGAGTACAAGTAAACCAAACAAGCGTTTTTTTCAGTTGTACTCATGAATCCGTTCGAAGTCAATGAAGTATCTAAGGCAAACGACATATACATAATAAGAACCTTTTGTCCACAAATATGGACGTGACAACCAAATACAAGAGGGTTGTGACCTCAATGCACAAGCTCTATGATGCAAAACTTATGCATCATTACCATCGGCCTCCACTGCCGCAATCAGGTGGTATTTATACAACTCCTCCAAAAATACAAATCTAGCATGACACCCTCTAGTGTCATCCATCTCATTTTTAGCATCACTTGGTCAACTCTCAAGTATTGCACTATCATGTCCAGTGCATCAAGTCTAGAGATTTTAGAGAGGTTTAATAATCTTCCCCTAATCGAAAGATGTAGGAAGGGGTGTCACATAATCAAGTGTTAATGGATATTTCACCAATCGAAAGATAAAAAAATGACGTCTTTTAGTATCATCTCTCCACAAAAGCAGACAACATATCATAGTTAATAAGATTATAACCCAGTCATGCATAAATCTTGAAGCCCATATTGTTGTATGCCATTATAAAACCATTGCTCTTTAGGTTGTTGTAGCTTCACAACCTTTCTACTGTAGTTGATATACTTTAAAGTCTTACAATACTGTAAAAAAAATACACCATCATCAAAAAATTCAAATATTATAACACATATATTTAAAAGAATACACATATATTTAAAAGAATAAATACAAATTTATTTTACCTCTCCATCCCACATGTGCCTAACATCGTGGTTTACATACAAAGGAGGTAGTGAAGTGTCATATGAGCTTCTTGGAAAACATCATAAATGGCAACAAATGCATCAAAATGGATTGGTGAGACTTGTGAGACAACAACAGGTGACACGTGCCTCTATAAAGACAATCTAGATACACATGAACTCTGGAAGAAGACGCTTCCACATCAAATGAACTGGCACTAACTAGTAGTTATGAGGGTTTAGCTTTTTCTCTGCGAACCGATACATCTTGGGACACTTTAGCGTGTCTCAATCTATCTTGGTTGTCAGCTATTTTACCCATAATTAAACCATAAAACTTATATCATAATCGAAGAACTCAAACTCAGATGACATATTTGTAAAACCAAACAACTAAGGAAATACAAAAAAAAATACAGAAGTGCACTTCCGTAACTCATAAAACTCAAATATTGAAAATTCGAAAGTGCGTTTCTGTAAAACATGAACTCATAAATTGCATAAAATGCAGAAATCAAATATTATGCCATATGCTCTAAACATAAAAAAATGTCAATGCACGCCTCAATAAACTACATATTATGAGTGTAACTACAATCTAATGCGCCACAAAAACCTATTTAAGTAATGCACATCATAATAAAAAAGGAAGGAAATGGAAGAACTTATCAAATATGAGAAGTGAAAGCTCTTGGATTGAATGAAGCGCGTTTAAATTGAGTGATGTCATGGGATTAAATGCACTGCAATAGAAGTTGTGAGAAACCTTGAAAAATGATGAAAATGAGGTTTGCTCACGAACTCTTTTTTTTGTTCGAGTGAGTTTTGATGGAAATGAAGAAGATAGAAGGTATTATGCGATAATATAACTCAAAATGTGCCTGAAAATATATCTATGTAGGTTTTTACAAAAGTGTACATACATATTCACTCTTCCATTAGTACGAAGATACATTTCTGAATTAATTTATGGTAAACTGAAAGTGAGTCACTTATGAAGTGTTTTGGTGTGGACTTTTAGGTGCGTTCGAAAGTATAGTTTTGAATTTAAAGAGAGTTTATGATTTTTCAGAAAGGTGTATGAATACCACTAAGGATGCATTGAACAATACCGAAAAGCTATATTTATTAATTACAGTACCCATCAACTTTAAAAAAAATAGATTTTTTAAATATTTTTAGAAATTACTCTTATGAAAACCTTTTTTAGTAAAAGTTTATAATAACATAAAAGATTAATTTTGACATCATGTAACATAAATACATGTTATTGAAACTTTAAAATATAGTCAAAATCATATAATTGTTCAAAAAGATATTTCAAAATGATTTTATGAAATTTTCTTTAAAATAGTTTTTAACTTTAAGTGAATTTTTAAAATTTGAGATATAAAAATTATAGTAAAAGGATGAAACACCAAAATTAATATTTTATGAAAAATTATTTAAATTAAACTTTTATCGTTTTTTAAAAATACTTTCTAATTTTTTAATAAAATATATAAAAATATAAAAATCATTTAAAAAATTGAAACAAACATATTCATACTATTTTATTAAGAGAGTAATTTTTATTTACCTACGACATTGTCAAACTTTCATACACGTAGTTCTAATAAAATTACGCGATAGTTTTTTTTTTTATTGATTAGCTTATAAAATATTTTTCATTAATATTTATTTCACGTGATTTAAACAGAGACATGATTAAAATATTAAGAATATGTATTCATAAACATTAAGATTTGACTGAAAAAATATGGAGGAAGAAGAAGAAAAAATATGTATTCATAAACATTATTTAAAAAATATGGGTTTTGTAACACAAATATTTAAAAAAATCACATCTTAAAATTATTAACGACACTTTATGTTTTCACTTACATTACCAATGTTGTTTAGTATTTGTTGTTAGTTGGTTAATTCTTGTTACGTAGTTATTTGGACTTTTAACATGTATTTGGGTTTGGACATTTTTGTCTATATAAAATGGCCATTATGTTTGTAATCATAAGAGCAATAGCAGCAATAATAATTACATTCAGTCAGAAAGTTAGTTATATTTAACTAACTCACAAATCTCTCTCTCTCTCTCTCTCTCTCTCTCTCTCTCCTCTCTCTCTCTCTCTCTCTCTCCTCTCTCCTCTCTCTCTCTCTCTCTCTCTCTCTCTCTCTCTCTCTCTCTCTCTCTCTCTCTCTCTCTCTCTCTCCTCTCTCTCTCTCTCTCTCTCTCTCTCTCTCTCTCCTCTCTCTCTCTCTCTCTCTCTCTCTTTATTATTATTATTATTATTATTATTATTATTATTATTATTATTATTACCAAAATCATCTTTCTTGAATCCTTTGTTCCAACAAATTGGTATCAAGAGCTTGTTTGCGATTCAGAGAGAATCTAAATGGCAAACGGATCAATAACATCAACACAGTTTCCAGCGAATCTATCGATTTTCAAAGGTGAAAACTATCAAACGGTGGGTTGCACAAATAAAGGTTATTTTCAGATTTCAAGATGTCGTAGAAATCTTGAATGATGGAATATCAGAACTGGAAGTAGATGCTACGGAAGCCCAGAAAGTTGTGCACAAAGACCAGAGGAAGAAAGATGGCAAGATGTTGTTCTTGATTCACCAGTGTGTGGATTGTGGCATTTTCGAGAAGATAATTGAAGAAGAAACAATAAAAGGAGCTTGGGAAAAGCTGAAATCTTTGTATGGTGGAGATGAGAAACTGAAGAAGGTGAAGTTGCAGACTCTGAGAAAGTAGTACGAGATGCTTCAGATGAAATAGGATGAATTTATCTCTGCATATTTCTCAAGAGTGGTGACGCTAACAAACCAGATGAAGGCGTGTGATGAAGCGCTTACGGATCTGCAAAAGGTAGAAAATGTATTAAGATCTCTAATTGCAGATTTTGATTACTTTGTTGTAACAATTGAAGAGGCCAAGAATCTATCTGAGATGAAGTTGGAAGAACTTCAAGCTTCATTGGAGGCTCATGAAATGAGGCTGCAACAGTGAAACTCAGAAAGAGAGAAGGCAGCTGAACAAGCATTGCAATCAAGATTCAGCAAGAAAGCTGAAAAGAAAAGTCGAAGCAGCAGAAAGAATCTTGCTTTTGATGAGAAGTCAAGCAAAAATACTGATTCGAAAGGTGTGGGAAACAAGTATTCTGGGGAGAAAGTTGACACGAAAGAGGTGCAATGTTACAATTGTCAAGGTTTTGGCCACTATGCTAGAGACTGTCAAAGAAAGAAAGCTGCAAAGTCGAAAGATAGTGATGAAGCTCAATATGCACGAGCTGGAAGTAGTGATTCTGATGATATGTTGTTGCTGGTAAACACTCACTCGACCACTGAGAGAAACAACATGTGGTA